ATCATTCTCCTCTTCCTGCTCTCAATCCTATCCTCCCTATAACAACCCTGTGAGGTAGGTTGGGCAGAGAGTCTCTGGTCCAAAGTCACCTAGGGAGCTCCATAGCCAAGCAGAGACTAGAATCCAGATTACCTGAGTTCCAGTCCTGTGCTCTTAACCACCCCTCCACACTGTTTCTCTCTCAATCTCATATTTTTTGCTTTAAACTGTTAGGTTCACACTACATATGGAAAGTGAGTAGTCCTTTGGTAAGGCTACCAGGTTCAGTTTCTTTAGAGCCAATGGTATCTTTGCAACATTTATGTTATTTAGAATTATAGAAGCAGAGTATTTCAGAAGGCCAAAGGTACAGACAATCTATATCTGCTTTTAAATTTCCTGGAGAAAAATCATACAAAATCTTGCTTCTCAGGCATCTCTCGGTTCTTTGCCTCACTCTCTCTCTGGTATTGTCCAGAAAATATACCCATGTATAAAGACCATTTGTGTGGATATCTGAATTGGAATAGCAACCCACCCTTCATGTGCTGATCCAGTCTTCTGCAAAGAGACTACAAGCATGCAAACAGTACACAAATACTGTCTGTACACAGGATCCATACCCTGCATTTTTTCACAAAGGGTAATATGAATGTATCATTTTTGCAAAAAGAGCATGATCCTGACCCTTCCTTCAATGCATTCATTGTCCACAGACAAGCTGTTTGAGCATCTCTCCAATTCAAAATACTTCTGTCCATGCTGCCCCCAATACACACAATTTCTGTTGGCTGTCATCTTTTGACAGCTCCCTTTCTAACCACTAGAGAAAACATCCCTAAGTTATTAAAAGAAATACTGAAGCTGTTTTAAAGGCATTGACCATTCATTCACAGTGAATATGAATATGACTATGCTTACAGCAATACTTCGTATTCAAAATGAGTGAAAGTTAAAAAAATAAAAATAAAAAGGCCAAACTGATAAACAAACACAATTTTAGAATCATTTAAAATTATTTTGGATTTGCAAACCATTTCAAAGGAAGCATTTCTAGAGTCTTTAGCAAAAGGTTATGGTCCTAACCAAGCCTTCTGAATCTGTGAATGCTTGTTCATGTCTATATATGGGCTGTTTAAGAGATTCCTAAGACATAATAAAGTTCAGCTTAAAACACACTGGCCCAGATCCAAAGGACTGCAAGCAGAAGGGAAATTACAACTTTCAGTGTTTCATGCAAGGACATGCAAAACCTGCTGGAAGAAATGAAGGTACTAAAAGAAGTAGCAGCTTGTTTAATCTACACATTTGGAACAAAACTCTCTGCAAAGGGTATTGTTTTCCATGTGCAAGGTCCCACTACAAGCTGATGAAAAAGCTTTGTGTGGCAGACTGATAAACACTTGGATTCTTGCCAATCATCATCAAGGCATCCTTCCAAGTCAGATATCAAGGCCTCAACTGTTGGATTAGTAAAATCTTTAGTATAAACCACTAAATGTTTCAAAGATAAAAAATGGGATGTGCTTGTTACACTCCTCTTCATACCTCAAGAATCTCTGCTTAAAACACTCAAGTGTATCCAATTGGTGTCCATCCATCAGTGAAATGGGGCAGTTTGGAGCAATTTCCCATTGCCCAGTGCAGGAGCCCCCTGCACCTTCACCAAAACTTGCAGCAGAAGGTTGACAAGACCCTCTGGAACAGTGTGGATGCAAAGGCTGCAGGGAGGGAAGGTGATTCATCCAAAATATCGAACCTTGCCATACTGTTGATGGATCAAGAGAGGAGCACCAATGGAACACCGCCCCCTCCAGTTTCAGTGTGTTTGCTCACCCATCCTCTGATTCAAAAATTAATAATTTGGTTGCTCTTTCTGTTAAGGACAAGCTAGAAATATATTGTAATTATCTTACAATACATTGTATCAACGATCAGCAGCTACAATGCATGAAATGACAGGCTTTTTTCTGTACAGGGTCTTAGTGATCTTCTCAGAGACATTTATCAGCACATTCAGTCTAGAAGAAACCCATGAAGAACTGTGCTATTTAGGAATTTAATTCCTAAAGTTCCTGTGAGAGTGAGCTGAATTATAAAACAGCTACTATTACTAGACCAGCCATTCATGCTAGCAAATGGTAAACTAGGCAAAAATAAAGATTGTGCTCAGATTGCACTAATAGGTGCCCAAAAGCTGAGTTGTTCTTGGAAAATTGGGACAGTTGGATCTAACAATTGGTACTAATCATGATGGTTATATATCCAGTACTGAAGGCAGTATGCCAATGATACCCAGTACTGTGGGGAACATGAGTGGAGGTGGTCAGGTTTTGCTTGTGAGCTTGCCATAGGCATCAGGTTGGTCCTGTAGAAAGAGAATACTGGAATAGATATGCTTTTGGTCTAATTCAGCACACTTTCTCTTGTACTCTTGTAAGCATCTGTTCTGTAAAGGTAAAATTGGATGTTGCATTAAATATATACTGCCCCGTTCTCTATTTTTATTTTACTTCAAAGTAAGTGTGAGCATGTATTTCAGATTGGCACTGGGGAGAAGAGATGCAATCCCTCCTTTTCCGGCTGGGACTCTTCCACTGAAAATTGTCACCCCACTACTCATGGCACCTATGGGAGATGTTAAAGCTGCTACCTGCCATGCAGGGGTGGTTTTCAGCAGTGCTGCAGTTAGGAATGGAAGAATGAAAGCTCTTCCACACATGCTGTGGCCCCAGTCACAATCCAGACATGCTGCACTTACACTTGAGTAAAATAATAGCAGGAAGAATGGTGTACAGTCAGTATTTAATGTATTAATAAAAAGGAGCATGCCCTGAAGAAGTTTAGATTTCATAATTTTATTGTAAGGTCTATCAAACCACAAATTACAGGTTTTTGAAATCTTTATGGAACAGCTTCATACAAATGTTCATGTCTTTTTAATAAGATGCCACATACATTTGGCTGTGATTTTGTTGGGACAGAAAGCTTCTGAAAATGACTAAAAACACCATGGTGTCACCTAGTACTGAAATTCAACATGCAATCAAAGTTATTCAGACATTACAACTGAGTTATATTAGTTTATATTAATATATTTAACTTCAAATACGGACAGTCAAGTACATTGCATAGCATGGTTCTGAAAAGGAGAAGCACGTCTTAACAATGGTTAACAATTAGCCTTCCAAGCATAACCATCTCTTAGACTCTATCTTTTATCTCCTTTTTAAGTTTCTTCACTCGGTTCAAAGTTAGCGTCAATTTGTTTCTGCCTCTAACAGAAAGTACAAGTATAAAAGCACAAAAACAGCAGTACATTGTTTTGAGGAGCCCTGAACACATTGCCCCAGTATAAAAGGTTTCCTAGCAGCACTTTTTTTTTCTTTTGATTTATATCCTGCCTTTTTCCTACAAAGGGCTCAAGGCAGCTTACATCATTCTCCTCCTCCATCTTATCCCCACAACAACAACCCTGTGAGGTAGGTTGGGCTGAGAGTCTGTGACTGGTCCAAAGTCACCCAGTTGGCTCCATGGCCGAGCGGGGACTAGAACCCTGGTCGCCTGAGTCCCAGACCCATGCTCTTAACCACTACACCACACTTTTCCCCATCACTCTTTTCTAGTTAGAAATGTAGCAAAAATGGCCTGTCTGTTCCTGCACCTGGCAGGAGAGAGGGGAAGGAAAAGCAAAGAACATTAGGTTGTATATCCTTATAGTCCCAGTAACCTACCATGGTTACTAGAATGGCAGAGGGGCTTTTGGAAACCTCTGTTCTCTGGAATAAGGCCAAGACACAGAGACTTCTCCATCCGCTCATATGAAACAGTAGCCCTTAATAATTATCTGGCTTTGTTCACTGTGTAACTAAACTGTACAACTAAGATGAAGGGGATCTTGTAGAGAAAAAAATGCTTCAGAGAAAATAACGCTATCATTTAATATATTCCCTAGCACTGCCTTCCCTGACTCCGTGCCTTTCTCTGACTGCAGATTCCATCACCATCCGCTAACATGATATGTAACCATCGGCATGATTGGGCCTCTACCCAGCAAGGGGTCTATTGCTGACCACACAGGCCCCTATCTCTTCCTCTTGTTTCTCCCCCTTGCTATTGATGCCCATTCACCTCCCCTCTTAAAGCAAGTGAGCAGTGACAAGGGAAACAAGAAGGGTGTCTTTGACTTGTCCCACCTTCTTCTTTTAGGTAGTGGCACCAACTGGACTGACAAAAGCAAAGTGCTGAGCCCACTCAGGCCAGCCTGGCTTAGTCTATCCCTCCTCAGAATTTGGAGCCAACACTGCCAGGGCTATTAGAAAAGCCAATAAAGCAGCGGGATGGGCAGGGGAAGGACACATCTCTCACCATTCTGACAATTGTTTCTGGCACCAACTGGTGCTTCTTCTATTTTTACTAGGATGCACAGATGTAAAGAGAAACAACTGGCATTCTCTCCATCACAGTTTCTTCTGCCTTGTTTCACTATTTCAGCTATAAAATATACAAACAAAACCCAGTCCAACGAATATTATGCTCCTGTTGTATCACTAATTCTGAACTCAGATTCTGGATGCTCAGAACATATTGCTTTTCAAAAAAGCAAATAGTAAAGACATGCATAACTCCTATTTATAGATATATAATTTGTTAAAATCCACCTGCCGTTTGGTTTATTAGAAGCTCATGCAGATCTGATAAAAAAACAGGTGGGGAAAGCTAGAAGGCTTTTTTTTTAATGCAGCAAGTCACAACCATTCTGAAATATATTGCTACCTAATAAGAGAAGTTCTGAATTTTGGTGTGCAGTAGTGTGTATAGCATGTCTACTCAAATATTTCTTATGTCTGTGAAGTCATGTTTAGCTATTGCCTTCCTGTAGACACTCTCTCTACAACATGCAGGGTAAAAAGCAGCTGATAAGCGTAATTAGCTTTGACACTGTTCAATTTAGTTTTGCACTAAGGACTAATTGCCTAGTCAGGGAAGGGGAAGTGTAACATTTTTGTTAATATGCTTACCCGAGGGCCCTGATCACCTTGATCTCCCTGCAAAGTGGAAAGATGAGATGATAGGTTTAACACAGCATCTGTGTGCTAACTCAGCTCTCTCAAATAATCTCACATCATACTGCTCCAAAGCCATCAGTTAATATCAGGAGGGCTTGCCTTTATTTTGTTAGTGGCAACAGCATGCTGACTCACCTTCTCGCCTTTTGGACCAGGTGGACCCTGAAAGAAAGAAAGAAAATATACTCATTAACAGTTGGCCCATACTCTGATTCAGCCGTAATGGCCTATTTCCCTCAAGCAGCAGAACTGGTTGCAAATCTATGTGTTTCTACATAGTTCGTACAGCAAATGGAGGCACATCTGACTAAATGCTCTTCTATCCAGGAACAACAAAGCCTGCATAAAGAAATCTAGCATGTTGAGAAGACCAGCTCAGATGCAGGTTTACCACCTCAGCTGCTGCTTGTGAAAAGAAACCACATTCAGTCATGAAAGTAAAATACATAAAAGTAATAGATTAATCAGAAAGCAAGAACTTCCAAAAGACAGAGCTATTTATTTTAGGGTGATAGATATGCCACAACTCAAAGGAGAAAATCGGGACACTCTGTATTTGAGTTATTTACTCAACAGTCCAGATGCCCCACACCAATTAGCGTTTTTAAAGGCTTGGGTTTCAGTGGCATGCCCTGGCCACCTTGGGGTCAATTCAGTAATCTTCTGGTGTAGAACAATTAGGCTAACCAGTGCAACTTAAGCAGCCCAAACCACATGTGTTTCAAAAATTGAACAATGATGTGAACAGGAATATTAATGCAGTCAAATTGAGTGAAATTGAATAGAACAGTAATAAAGAGCTGCTAAATCATCTGACAGTTTTCATTATGGCTATTCATCTTTAGTAAATTCTGCTTAGTGGCTCGGATCACGAAATGCCTAGGCAAACATAGCTAACAGAAATTTGGTTTTAGGAATTCGTCACAAATACTGACACCTTTTCTACAGCACCAGAAAGGGAATCCAAGTGCTTCATTATTACATATTTCTTATAAAATGGCATAATGCAAGGCAATTTAGGATGTTATTTTCTTCATCAATCTAACAGAATAGAAAATGGTAGTACTCTTGCTAGTACTCAAATTAAGTCTATTTATTGTAATTTGTCACTGAATTTTGCCAGAAATTAAAACTATGTCTCTCATACTTTGGCTTTACTTTGCTCGATGATTTAACATATATTTAAGATTACATTGCATTGGTTCAAATCTATTTACAGAGTTATGGTGAAGGAGGAAAAAGTAAATCTATCCATGGGCAAGATAGTAATGAGAAGCCTAGCTAAAGTTAGCAGGAACTGAATTCTGCTGAGTGGTTTTCAGTATGAATGGTATATGTAATCAAACTTAATCATATTTAAACAAACATTGAATATTTTAAAATCCACCATTTTCTCATGAGGCTGCTGAATTAAGCTGCACATCTCACATTCATAATAGTTTCGTTCCTCAAACAAGATTTATTCGACTTTGATACCTTGTGACTTACATATAGCAAACTGGCTTTTTCCTGACAGAATATTTGACTTGTTTCATTAGTAAAAGATGTTTCAGATAATCTCATTTCTCCCCCGCCCCGCCAAACTTTAGGGGAGAGTGCCCATCCGTAGGTAGCCAAATCAACAGCTCCCGTGCACCAGCACAAGATCTCAGCACAGCGGACTCAGGACACAAAAGCTTAACCCCCACACCCCTTACCAGGAACAGCGACAGCACAAAATATTAACTGACTGAGAACACTTCCCAAGTGGGACAAGGAATGGAATGGAATTGCTGGAAGGGAGGAGGAAGGAACAGACGCAGAGATAATTTAGAAGTGTAAAATGAACCATTTCATTGTAAGGATAAGTCATTTCCTGGTTCACAATGAGAAGCTATTTGTATCTGTCCCCAGGACAGAAGCGAGTTGTCCACAGAAGAAATAGTCAGAATGGAGAAATCCAATATTTTAATGTACCTAGTATTAGGAATTAGGGGGCTGCTTTCTGTACACCGCTCCCAAAAAGAAAAAAAAAAGCACCAACAATGAGATGAGTTCTTGTTCTTTCTAACACAGTTTGCATTTAATATAAAACATTTTTTTAAAATAACCACACTAATGCAAATTCTAAAGCAGATGCAGCTTAGGTTTAGGGTTGGGCTTATGAAACATTGAAAGGGACCATATCTGAGATTAGGTCTGACTTAAAGAGTTCTGAAGTGTTATAAGAAAGAAAAACCAAAGCTATCTGGAAATAGGGAAGAAAAAGTGGGCTCTCTTTACAGTTTCTATCCATATATCCACTATTTGTTGGGCATGAAACTTGCATGTATAGCAGTGGTTTTTTTTTTCTCTAAAGAAGAAAAAAATCAAGTAGTTACAAACATGGACTAGGAAGCCTATTGTGTTTTCCTTCTGCATTTTGTTGCTTGTTGGATGTTACATAATCATACCCTAATTGGTTTTGTAGTTCAAATTTACCTTCAAATTTATATCTCATGAACAGACTTTGATAGAGAGGTGAATCATGAGAAGTAATAAAGTCTTAGGAGAGGAATGACTACACTATTTCACTTCTAGCAATATTATTTTCTCTTCTGTTTCTTCCGTGAGCTCTGAAACTTAAGTGGTGTGGTTTTGACTTTATTGCATTTGGCTGTGCATTTAGAAAAGCATTATGCTAGATACTGCATCATGCCAGCATCTTTGGATCCTGTCTGCAAATGCTCATAAAAGTTTTTGGTGGTCTTATACTGCTTTCATTCCCCTCACAAAATGACTTCCTCCAATTCTTTCCCCTTGGATTCTTGAAATGCTTTATGATACTTAGAAAAGGCTTGTTCTTTTGTCTTTGTTTTGATATCAGCTTTCAGTGAAGTTTAGTTTTCTTTTAAACTCCCACTACAGGGATGGGTGGTTTTTATTATATATATGAAAAGGTGTCTGAATACATAGTAAGTGCCAAAACACATTTTTAAAGTAATGTTATCCCTTTAGTCTATTATTTGAACCTAGTTAAATTAACATACTGTGTTCTGATTGCAAAAATATTAAAATATTAATTTAGTCCATACATGATCCAGATAATAGCAGTGCATAAGGGTCTGCTCCATTTACCTCCATTCCTGCCCACATTTTGAAGGCTGTACACTTTATACAGCTTTGAGAATCCTTCAGCACAAGGAAACCTATCTGATGTTCATTCCAAAATCCCATGAATCCATATCTTCTGTTTCTACTATGGCTACCATTTTCTTTTCTATTGCAATTAATGAAAAGTCACATAATGAACATTCTTCCTATACTGCACAACAGCTAAAGCTCTCTGGGAAGCTCACAGCAATACAGTTTGTATCAGGGGTCTACTTTTCAAGGCACCATTCTTAGGGAAGCAGGTGAGTGGAAATTCTTGTCATATTCCAGAAGGGAGGGAATTAAGGTAGAGCACAAACACTATTGGTCAGGGCAGCACTTTGCTGAGAGCTTGACTACATTTGATGCCACATGATCTGTAATCATATCATCATTTGAAAGACTTAAGAACCAGGCACTGAGTCAGGGCAATATTCAGCAGGACAATAATCAACAGGAGGAAAGTGTAAACTTTTATTCGCCAGTTGTGATCTCAGTAAAAATAGTTTCGCTCCTCCAGCACACACACACTTTGGGGTGCAAATTGGCATTCAGGAAAGAAAGAAATCCCAGCATGCAGTGCTTTGCTTTATTGTGAGGGGCATATTTTTACAGATAAAACAGGCAGGGAAGAAAGGAAGCTTCTCCCCTCCCCCCATGCACTGCAGTGCTGATGATTATTTCCCACTCATGCCTTGCATTTAAATAAAATCAAATCAACGTGGTCGCCTATGATGATGCAAGTCTTGTGTCTAGTTAGGTCCTTACTAACATTCACAAAAGAATTGGTTTTGCTTTCCACGTTGAAACATTTCGTGACATTTTTCAGTGACGGGGCCCTTTTCAGGCATTCTTCCTCATTGGGCTGGGGCCACAAGGTAGATCATAAGGAAAACTTTCTTGCTATTTTCCCTCTGGAAAAGCCTATTTGAACAGGCCTGCACTGTGGTGTTGGCATTCAGAATGGAAAGAATTTTACCTGCATTGCCATTGGAAATGTGGTGCATGGAGTTTTGCACTTCCATTACAAGAATATTTTCTGTTGTAGCTAAGTTTATCTGTACTGACTCTTATCTGTATGCGTGATAGGCATTGGGTTGGAACCATTGGTGAGGGGAGCAGGACTGCTCTCCCCCAGTGGAAAACCCTTAAAGATCTTGGATGAAATGTCAGCAAGGGAAGCCTAACTTGCGAGCTGCCAAACCGCCACATTTTGGAAAAGAGCATTAGCAATCTGCAATGCAGAGCATCACAGACTCTTACCCTCTACCACCAGTGCTTCTGGTATGCAAGCCAGGGGCAGAGAATCAGCCAGCAAGGAGGGTGCCCAATGACAAAATCTATATCTTACACCTTTTCCAACCAAATTCTTGGCCCATAGTAGCCCATTGAAATCTCTGTGTCAATGTTTTTCTCTGTCTTTCTCTCCCATCGACCAGACCCAGTTAGTTCAGACCAGCTAGACTTTGCCCCACACAATTACACATGAATGAAGGGTAGAGAGAGACCACACTTGTTGGCCTCACTGCTTTGGGCATGCCCCTATTGTCCATCCCCACTGCCAAACCAGCGATGCTCCACATGATTTCAAACTCCAGTTCAGATCTTCACTATACATTGCATACAAAGTGGGAGAAGAGGCAATAGTGGCAGAAGAGGCAATAGTGATGAAACAGAGGAGGTAGCGCCAGGATCCTCCTCTACAAAGTAGAAAAAGATGACAGACAGACAGACAGACAGACAGTCAGTCAGTCAGTCAGTCAGTCAGTCAGTCAGTCAGTCAGTCAATGCTGGGAGTATATGAGTCCATCTGCAGCTCCTTCTGTTCCATTTCTCAGGAGGGAAAAGCCCACAGTCTCCCACCAAATAAGAATTATGCATTCTTATTTAGGAAGACAAAAGGTCAAGCTAGATATGATGTTTGTTGCATGAAAAGCATCAAAGGCTGCTTAAAGAAAACATGCATCCCTGCTGCTGGAGGAATAGCAGTGTCCTGAATGCTTTTATGGGGATCATGTGAGGACAGGTGGGGAAGGGTAATACTTTCCCAC